GCGCTCATGAGGCCACACTTGGAGTACTGTGTTCAGTTTTGTGCCTCCCACTATAGAAAGGATGTGGACACATTGCCGAGGGTCCAGTGAAGGGCAACACAAATGTTTAGGGGTCTGGGGCACATGACTTCTGAGGAGAGGCTAAGGGAACTGGGCTTATTTAGTCTGCAGAAGAGAAGACTGAGGGCAGATTTAATAGTAGCCTTCAACTACCTGAAGGGTGGGTCCAAAGAGGATGGAGCTAGACTGTTCTCAACAGTGGCAGATGACAGAACAAGGAACAATGTTTTCAAGATGCAGCAGGAGAAGTTTAGGTTAGATATTAGGAAAAACTTTCTCACTGGAAGGATAGTAAAACACTGGAACAGGTTACCCAATGAGTTTGTGGAATCTCTATCCTTGGAGGCTTTTTAGACCTGGCTAGGGAAAGCCTGGGCTGGGATGATCTAGTTGAGGATGTTCCTGCTTTGAGCACGTGGCTGGGCTAGGTGACTTCCTGAGGTCCCTTCCTACCCTAATTTTCTGTGGTTCTATGATTCTGTAGACTGGGCTAAAGTTGATGAGATCATCAGTGTCAAGACCTGGCTTCTTGAGAAGTACTGGAACATTAAAGACATTCTAAAATGCACCCATTACATTTTACTAGCTATTAAGAAATCTGATCATACTCACAAATCTGGAGATTAAGTTTGTGAATGTACTAAGTTAAAGTAAAATTGTTTCAAAATAAGAAGTTGTTATATTTGTCTCCTTCTGACCTGGATTGACAACTGAAAAAAAAGCATCAGTCTAGTTTCTTTAGTTTTTGTCTCCTTCCTTCAGCAATTAGAATTCTTTCTTTTATCACTGGATGCAGTTGTCAGCCACCAAAAGGAAATCCTATCCCTTGCTCTGGCATGAAGGAAACGTTTACTGTCTATATTCGTGCTGTAGTGGATCAGATCAAATGTAACAAATACCACTTGCAGTCTATCCCTCATACTGTGTACTTGATATAGGTACTTAGGCTATGTACTCAGCTGGTATAAAGTTGTAGATTTTGAGTGAAATATATAGGAGCAACTGTTTTTTTGAATTCTCATAAGTCTTGAGAGATGATGTTCACATCATGACAAAGTACTAATGTCTGACTAATACCCTAAGAGATTATAAAGATGGAATCTAACCCTACCAAGACTTTTTCTTAAGTTATGTATTACAAATACGTCATTAGCAGTATCAGAGAGGTAGGAACACAACAGTTGCAACAAATGCTGAACAGTTCTAGAATGAGAGTCCTGGGAAAACAGTGTTCCATAGCCAGTGAGAAATGATTTAAAAAAATAATTACTGTGTATGCAATATGTTGTTCAGAGATGCAACAACATTTTAAATGGACCAAGATTCTTCTCTTCTCTGGTAAAGTCTAAATCATAAAATACATCTGAATACATCTCCCAAGATTAATGTTCTCAGTTGAGTTAAATTAATTTAAATTAAAATTCATTGGTGGACTTGGGTACTTCCTACATCCGAGGTCAGAATGCAAATGCTGAACCTGCCTTGACTTCTGTTGAACTTAGCATCCATCTCAGTTATTTAATCATTGTTTTGTGTATACATTGTTAAAGAAGCCATGAACTTCTGTATGAGTTTGTCAGGCTGTTCCCTGCCCTCTCTGCCTTTGCCAGACTGAGGTGGTACTGATCTGAGAAAGGCCTGGGAAGGAGTGCCTGTTCCATTCCTTCCAGTCTCCACTCCAGAGGACTGCCTCCTCAAGCTGTCCCTGGCCCTGACTGCTTCCTTTTGTCCTCTGTACCACCCAGATGGGCAGCAGGGACAGCGATTTACAAGTCAGTGGGGCTGGGAACAAACCCACTCCCTGGCCTCCCAGGCTTTTAAATTGCTGCCTGTGTTGCTGAGCTGGGTAGTGGGGGCAGCAAGAGAAAGCTGGTAGGACTGGCAAAGCCTCTGGTCTTTCCCCAAAACTGGGGACTGCAGGACCAGTCCAGAAGGAGAAAGGAGCAGAGCAGCAAAACCCCCACCCACTTCTCACTCCAGGAACTCTCATGTTAGAAGCAGATGGAGCAGTGTGGTAAAGCCCCTGGCCTGCTTCTCACACCAGAGTTGTCTCCAGAGTGTGAGGAGCCAATAGGGAGTAGCTGGCAGCTGCTCCTGTTCTGCACTCATGGTCTATGGGAGGGGCAGAAAAAGTTTCCCCCCATGCCTTCTTCAGACTGGAGTGACCCCAGTCTCAGGAAAACATGGTTGCTTTTCCCATGGCTCCATTCCTCCTGGTCCCTTGGAGGAGTTAAGCTGGGAGAAAGAGCCTCAAGAGAAACTGTCCCAGGACTGACTTCTCCCTCGTTGGAGTCTGCTTATTTTTCTCCTGCAACCACCACTTTTGGCCCAGGAGAAAGAGCATGAATATTCATGGAGTTTGATTTCTACCATGAAAACGGTTATTCTCCTGATAGCAACTGAATGCCCGTGCGTGGTGATGGACAATTAACAATGGAGAAGCATTTTGAGTATTGTTGCTGTGCTTTGAGTAATTAATATTTTGAGAGGAGAGTCAGCACTCTTGGTGCCCAACTAGCTCTACAGGGATCACCAGCAAGTGCTGTGCAGACCACAGGTTTAAGGATCTCTGTTCAGGTGGGAAATTAAAAAGGGAAACAAATAGAGAGAAATACTGGCTTCATTGAAGTCAATGGCAAAACCTATTTCCTATTCATGATTTATATAACAGCTTTTGCTACAACAATACAATAAAACGAACAATAACAATTATATGTAATATAAAAATATAATTTATGATTTTTGCTAAAAAAAAAAAAAAAAGCAATGAAATTTTCCATTCTAACAGTTTCCACAGAATTTAAACAGAACATAGTATATGATGGTACAAAAAAAAGATAAAATGAAGTTGTGGACAGTAAAATAAAACAAGGGAATTCTATTTGATCGTCTCCCTTCTTCTTTGTGTAAGTAATGCAAATACATCTAAGGAGTATAGGACAGGAGAAGCCAAAATGTTTTTTTCTTCATTAGCCCAGTATTTAAATTTTCCATAATTGGAAAGATCCATTTTCCTCTCATTTCTTCAAAGAACAAACAAGACCATAAAGAGTGATTTAATTCATCTTCCACAGTCTTCCCACAGGAACATATTCTGTTAGAATGTAGGATCTGACAGCACCTGCCCATGACAACTGCAGATCTCAAAGTAACTTGCAGTCTAGTACTGGCCTTCCATTATTTACAGTTGTTTGTGGTTAGTGGTTTTTATAGAGGGGTGTGTGTGTGTGTGCGCACGCACACACACATTTGGTTTGGTTTGCTGTAAATCACGTGGACATAGATTGACTTCCCCATTTGGAATTTAGCCATATGAATCTCATTGCTTAGTTACTGTTTCTTTGATGTTAAAATGCTTATTAGAAATTCAGAGATTACTTTGGTTAAGATTAGAATTAAACCCAACCAAATAGAGACTACAACTCCCCCCGCCCTCCCCCCTTAAAAAAAAAATCACCTAGGTAATTAACTTTCAGAACAACTATGGTAAATGTTCATATAGAAAGAGTTTGTAGGTTGCAAATTTTCTAGCTGCATGTTTACTCCAAATTTTAAAATTAGTAGGCCCTATTCCCCACTGAATTGCTCCATTTTATGCCAATGTACCCAATGAAATACATTTACTGTACACTGTGCATTTCATCCTGAAGGATTTCTAAACTAAAATGTAAGCTATACACATCAGTAATTTGTCTCGGCTGAACGTAACTCCTCTGGGGGTGAAATTAGTATGATTTCAGGTAAGAAGCAATAACTAACACCCAACCAAAACTACAAGTACATTTAGATCAGTAGAATGTAGTCTGCCAAGTTGTAATATAGCCAAAGGAGCAAAGGCAACACTTGTGTGCTTATAAAAAAAGTCACTTGAGCTTTAATAGCCATGTGCTGTCAGATTCTTAAATGTACCTCAGGCTGAACGGTGTTATTTGGTGTTCCCTAATACAGCCTTTTTTAATTTGAGCCATGCCTCAATTGACAGAGTACCACTTATTTTACCACCTTTGTCAGCAGAGTGATGTCTCCTATACAAATAATAACAAAATCCCATGACCAAAGGAAAAGAAGGTAGCACAGTAGACAATCAAATTATATATTTTAATCTTTCACATTATTTTACATTTTTAAACATAACCTGTATCAATAAAATCAGTAATTCTTCCACAGAGTATTTTTATACTAAACAGAACTGATAACTATTAGAAAAGATATATAGCATCTCTACTCAGATTTCACCAATTAAGTCAGATTCCTGAGACCAGTCTCTGTAGGTGTTTCATTTTCATCAGGGTAAATTTCGTCCAAAGTGTTTTCTTTGTTTTTGATTTAAAGTTATTATTTTGTAGCTTAAAAGGGATATAAATAGAATAGGAGTCTTTTGTTTATGCCATAAAAAGGGAAGGATCTCTTTTAAAATACCCTAAAAAATGGAAACTACAATGTTTTCCATGTTGTAAGTGAAGCAATGACTTGTTATGCAAGTTTTGAGTATTTGCATAGCATGCAAAATGGTTATGTTTTCAACAAAAATTATGGAACTTAGTTGCATGAATCTTTTTTGGCTATACGCTGTATTTCGTCATGACTTTTTCAAGTTAATAGGACTTCTCCTTAAAGTTGATGGCAGGCTTGGCCTATTGTAATTTTTAAGGGGAAAACTACAATAAAAAAGTAGTCACCAATGCACTTAACCTTTCTTTGTCTTAGCATTTGGCTCTCATCATACAGATACTATGACATTCAGTACAATTTCTTCAGATATTACTACCAACCTCCTTAACCAATGTGAAGAATGCCCTCCTTTTCAGTGGGTTGGGAATTGTTTTCTTTTTTTGTTTTGTTTTGTGATGAGACTAACCTCAGCCATGCAGGGATTAGTGGTGTTTGCATGTGGAAATGCACTAATATGGATGTTTTTCTTTGTGTGTGCATCCTTGCAGTGTTGTTTACCAGGATGGATTTTATGGTGCAGACATTTATGTAAGTATTCATTGATGCGCATGCTGTCTTTATGCATTACCAGAATCATTCTTTTTACAAGTTTGCTGCATAGCTTAACTCTGTTTTGTCTATTTACCATCCCTCACCTGTCAAGAAGAATTGAGAAGAATATCTCTTATATTGGAAGGCCTTTCTGTTCATTACATCTCTCATTGTTCCATAGAGCTGAATTAACTCTTCAATCAAGTACTGAGTGAATTTAAAAAAATAACAAAATGTTGGGGTTCAGCTTCCCTCAAAATTAAAGTTTCAAAAATCATTTGTAAAATTTAAAAATAAAACAAAACACCTGGAGATTTATCTTGAAAATTCAAGGCAAAATTCAAGGCCTTAGCTCCAGAATTCTGAAAGTTCAGACTGCTGAGAGTAAGCCTCTATTGAGGAACTTAAGTAAATGGCTAAGTCCCATTGGCGACAGGGTACATGCTTAGTTAAAAATATGTTTCAGAATGATTTCAAATATGGATGAGCATAAGCCTTTTCTTAAGAGTTTTTCTGAGCTGACGCCATAGTGTCTTCTACTCTGAATACTTCAACTAGAGCCAGCAAGACTAGTCATTGTAACAACTGACTTGTACTTATAAGTGAAGGTTTGCAGGATTGGGTCCTTTGTTATTTATTTTTAATTAAAATTCATTTTCTCCTTTGATGACTTGTTTAATTTTATGTAACATTAATTTATTTTCTAAAGTTTCTTCTAGTACTAAAGCTTTTAGCTAAAAAGTTTTATGTAGAATATATTTTATCCAAGTATGTCCAAACTGAAAAGGTTTCAGAATGAGTGAGCCTGATTTTTCACTCTTTTTTAAAGAATTAAAAATTGTGGGAACTATCAAAATATATTGATACATGAAATTCTTACAAACATGCCACTTATTTTTTCATTGATTTTTATTTTGATCAAATAAATGATTAAATAATTCAAGTGTTAAAAATAGATGGGATTAATTAAGGGTTTAAATAAGAGATTTTTTGTTGTTACAAACAGCTTTCTTTAAACTAATTCTGCTTCTATTGTACCATTGGCATTGAGATGCAAAGAGATGGATTACATTAAATTCTTACGAACATTAAAAATTCATTAGGTGGTATTACAGAGCATTACTTATATTTATTATCAATGATCCTTTGGAGATATTTAGGATGAAAAACTTTAAATATCCTGACAAGATATATACAGAAAGGCAAAAATTATCTGAATTTATATGGACTAGTAAAGATCCCTGCTGATGGAATAAGATAGGCTGTTTATACTCATTTTAAATATTAGCTAAAGATTTTTAAATATTTGTATATTATTAAAGGTTCAGATACAGTAGCATTCCCACCTGGCATACATGTTGAAGTTTTTAACCCCCCATTACTGGCAGTGCATACAACTCACCCCTTTCAAAAGGTCAACAGAAACACCTGTGAATGGCTTTAATTGGACTTAAGTACAGTCCTAGAGATTTAAATGGGTTTTAATGCTTCATAGAACCTTTTGTCCAGAAATGAAAGTTCAGTTTTCTTTTGTCTTCTATTCTTAAAGAGAAAACTGCACCAACTCACTATTACAGAAATTTGACACTTGAGACCCTTCTGAATGTAAATAAAATAAAGGTGTTTGGAAATAATGTGTTTATTTTACAGCTAATAATTTTCCGGCCTATTACTGCTGAGAATTTTTTTTTCAGTTTTCTCAGGTGCATCAGTGATGTTTTAAGTTTTGTTTGTTTGTTTGTTTTGCAAATATAATGACCAACATTCATGAAAGAAAAAATTCTAGCTGATATTTGATATAGGACCAACAGCATGGTTGGGGTAGAAACAGGATCATAGGAAAATAGGGCTGGAAGAGACCTCATGAGATCACATTGGAAGAATTGCATCCCTTCATTTGCAAGTGGCACTTCTATTGATACAATTTAGTATATTGGATTTTTTTTTTGCAACAAGAGCACACTAGGCTTCTTTTCAACTTATGGTCCACTACCTCCTAAGTCCTCTGCAGTATTGTCTAGCCAATCATTCCCCAGTCTATATTCATGATGCAAATTATGTGAAACCTTACCCAGGACAGAACTTAGGACATCTGGGGAACCCCACTTGATACTCCTCCCAACTAGAGAGTGAGCCATTTCTGACACCTCATTGAGCGTAATGATCTAACAAATTCTGTATCCTCTGTACATTATGTGTTGGACCTTAAATAGATCTTCACATATATGTAGACATGCACCCATCTTCAGTCAAATATAGGATCCAGGCCTTCACTTCCAAATTATATTTTTAATTTCTTGATAGAAAATACTGCTTATGTTTCTCACTTATGGACCAAGTTAAATGTACTTTATATAAATCTGTTATGGACTTTTTAAAAATTATTTTCTAAAATGCATTTTGAAATTTGTACCACATCCCCTGTTATTTTTTCTGTTTTGTCTTGTCACACTTGTTTTTTTTCTGCACCTAAAATATTTTGCCATAGAAAGACAGCAAAAGAGAGAGCTACATGCATGGGAATAAGGCAAGAGAATATATATGATTCAGAATGTATTAGTTCCCTGCAGAGCTCTGAGTTATTGACTGGCTTCCAATCGATTACCACATAGCTCTAGCTCAGTTAGCCATTTTAAATGGAAAGTTGAAGCTTTGTGAAGAAGGAAAATTCTCTGAGAGAAATAACACCATAAAACAGAAAGGGAAAAGGAGAGAGAGAGAGAAAACATGCAATTTAAATATGCACAAATGAGAGGACAGAAGAGACCCTCAAAATACCAAAGATGAGAAAAAAGAGAGACAAATATTGGAGAGTAGAACAGAAAAAAAATCTATATAGCAAGATGTATATCAAGGAGAAGTTCTTTCTAATGCTGGATTTGAGCAATAAGAGGGCGAGCTATATCTTACTTTACAACACCAGGCTTGATGATTTCCTTCAGTAGGTAAACTGACATAAGAAGAGGAAGAAATCCAAATCAGAACAACTAGCCAAATAAGAAAAGGAAATAAAACAATGAGCTAATGCTAACCAAAGAAATTGAGCAGAATAAAAAGAGCTTTCCTAATTAAATTAAGGGAAACAATATGCTAAACTGAAAATTCCAGAGGCACATTTCTAAATAATAAGGACAATATAATGATCTCTCAGACAAAGCTATTGAACTCCTTTTTTTTGATGTGCCTTTAACAAGAAAAATAAAGAAAAGATTGCACATTTAGGAAGTAAGGAAAGCCTTTTAAAATTAACTATTGATTCACTAACAAAAATTTCATTTAAAGAGAGTTGAAGTTGCCTGTTAGATAATGTTTCTAGTTGAAAATGAATATGTTTAGGAATCAGGAAATACATTTAAGACAATGAAAACAAGCTACATACAACAAAGATATGTACTTTAAAACCTGTGCGACCTTAACTCAGCCTCCTTTGATAAATGACTTGAAAAGTATTTTCAGGACATCACTTTTGAGGACATTACACCCCTCCCTAAGACACATGGGAGTCAGGTTGCAAGTTGGGGGAAGAAGAATGTGCAACTGGGGCAATAAAACAAGTTTTGCATTTTTAGGGCACTGACTGACATGCAGCTTCTGACTGCAACTCTTGGCACTTCAGAGAAGGTGCCATGAGTTGCAACAAATTCCCTCCCTCCCCACCCTCCACCTCCCGCGACACAAC